GCGCGTGAACTAACATGAACAACACATATAACAGGGACTTCCAGCACAAACACACATCAGACATCGGATTTTCTGTTGAAACAGATCCAGGACCACACAAACTGCTACACGGTTAGGGATTAGTTCCCCCTGTTCGGGACTCCCACCCCCCCCTTTGCCGACCCGCCAAAAAGCTCACATTTCCGTCCACAGCCAGTTGACAGAAAACACTGAAACAACAATCCATAGTGTTGAGCCACCATACTACTTATTTGCAGCGTGTACCTTTGTTTTCAGGCCATCCAACAATTCGAACTGTGAAAAGGCAAGCAAGATTTCCTAAGACAAGGCCCTCCTACTACACCTGCCCCTTGAGAGCCCGTTTCAGCATGGCTTGCTGACCCAAGGCCCTCATCCCATGACACCCCTCTACATCACAGTTGCAAGGCTTCACAGGCTTTCCATAGAACTGCGCTTGCTTCTGGAGGATCCCAGAGTCCCACCAGAACCAGCCAACGCTCGATGTTTGGGCAACAATGGTCGGGGTTTGAATTCCCAAAGCTCCATGACTTCCGCAACTTGGCGTGCCGGAATGCCAGGGATCCAAAGGGAATGTCCTACACACATCCACCCTACCTTAGCCCTTCGCCAACTGCTGTTTGTGAACTCTGGCAACCATGGTTAGCAAACGAGAAAACTATTTCAGCGTGATGTAGAAAGTGCCAACAAATGGCCGCATGGAATCCCAATTTTGGCCCACTCACTGACTGGCAAATCTCCAAATGTGTGTCAACTGTGCTTCTTTGGTTGGTTACTGATTGTGGGTTGCTTGCTACACGCACACGCATTTTTGTTGGATGACGCCGCAAAAGGCGGCAAGACAATTGAGCTCGCAATGGCGTTGATCAACGCAGGCTTCAATGAAAGGCATCGTTCTGAAATCATGAGAAACAAGACCGATTGCGTGTTTTGTCCACGGCAAGAAGTCATCGGCGTAGAACCTCTCGCGCAACACGCATCCATGAAGAGCCAACATTGGAGAATGACATTCGGAGTCTTCAGATGCTGTTAAGGCGCATCAGACGACAATAAAGGCCATGAGTACCTCAAACCGACACCAGATTGCCTCGCACGCGCAGGTCCATTCATGAGACGAAGGACTACATGGTGTCGCAACTTGCGCAGAGAACGAGACCCATAAGTCCAAGGAGTACATCAGCATGGATGAGTTTGACGAGCGGCATGTTCAGAGCAGGACTCTTCGCAACACTGAGAGCATTCCACAGCCATCCAACTTAAGCCGGAAAGATGAATGCAGAAGGAGAAAATGAGAAAATACATCCTTCCCTGGTACTCGAGTATCAATGCGACGCGACCGGAGATGCCAACCGTGCGCCAACACCCACAGCCGGCGCCAACAGATCTACCGCCAAGATAATGGACTGTTCAGCAGCAAATCAACAGATGCAGGACCGGTTGGCTTTCTGCTACGGCTCATCAGCCAGCATCCAGCAAATCATTCGCCGTGTCTTATTCACAAAGAAAGGACCAAGTTATGACAGGATCTTTCCTGGTTGCACGGTGACTTCGGTCTTTGGCTGCTGCAAGACCGCAGACCAGAGAACAAGCTGGTGATGGGAGTCGATCAGAACCCAAACATCGTCATCGGCGACTACCAGGTATCCTCTGCAGAACGTTTCAAGCACATAACAGATGAGATGCGCATAAACGCAGGGGAACGACAGCGACCTGCATTAAGAGCAAGATTGAACAGAAGAAGATCAACAATCAAAGGCAGAAGGAGCAGCGCTCCACAAGCATGGCAAGAGCTGGCATGAGGGGCGCTCATCCGAAAGTACCTGCAGCAAGGGACACTACAACAAGCAGAGGCGCTGAAAGCCACAAGTTATGATCTGCTTCCTCAAGCAACGATCAGTTGCCAAATTCGCAACGACCAATGGCTCGACGGTACCACCAACCAATTGACATCCTCACAAGACCAATTCTTCCTGGCATCCTCGTCTACAAGACCATGACAATTTCCAGATGAACTAGGACACCTCGGTCCATGTTTTTCAAGTCAGTACATCTTCACAGCCCATAGGACGCAGAACCATTTTAGTGTCAACTTTTGCTGGCCAGTCTCCGTGCGCTAACTAGAACCCAGTTGCAACTCATTCGCACAAATCATGTAGATACGAGACAAACCCAACATTTTTCGACGGCTACTGCGCAAACAAGTTACGGCCACGGTGTACGAGCCTTGAGACAGTGCTTCGATGCCAAAGGTCAAAAAAAGTTTGTGTCTGCTTTGTTCTCTGTTATTCCAGACAATCGACCTTAATACTTCACACATGTGCCCATTGTGGCTCAGGCTCAAGACCCTTCTTTCCAATAGCGGGGCATTCGTTGCCGCGCTCGCTCCACTTCGCCCCCACGAGTACCAATATCAACAACACATATAGCAGGGACTTCCAGCACAAAAGACACATCAAACATCAGTTTTTTGACTTGAAACAGCTCCAGGACCACACAACTTCACACCACGGAGGGTATCTTCTTTCTAGGGATCCCCACCCCCACCCCGGCAAGGGGCTCACATTTCCGTCCACAGCCAGCTGACAGAAATCACTGAAACAACAACGCATAGTGTTGAACCACGATACTGCTTATCTTGCAGTGTCTACCTTTGTTTTCAAGCCATCCAACAATTCGACCTGACTGCCCCTAAAACAGCTGAAAGCCCGCCGCAGCAATGGCTTGCTGACCCAAGGCACTCATCCCATGACACCCCCCTACATCACAGTGGCAAGGCTTCACAGGCTTTCCATAGAACTGCGCTTGCTTCTGGAGGATTCCAGAGTGTTTCACCAGAACCAGCCAACGCTTGACGTTTGGCAAGAATGGTCGGGGGTTGAAATCCCAGAGCCCCATGAAGTCTGCAACCAGGCCAGGGACACAAAAAAATTCCTACACACATCCACCCTACCCTTAACCTTCGCCAACGCAACAAATGCTGTTTGTGACTCTGGCGACCATGGTCAGCAAACGAGCAAACTATTTCAGCGATGTTGTTTAAAAAGGTCATCGCTTTGATGTCCCTCAGCCCATGCCAAAACCGTACAAATCCAAATGATGTAGAAAGTACTAACAAATGGCCGCGTGGAATCCCAATTTTGGCCCGCTCACTGACTGGCAAATCTGCAAATGTGTGTTGACTGTGCTTCTTTGGTTGGTTACTGATTGTTTGTTGCTTGCTACAGCCCATTCCCCCGCGCCTGTCGGGGCCAAAGGAAGCGGGACATTTGGAGCCTCGCCAGCAGGGCTTCCCCGCAGGTCTTGTGCCTCGATGGGATCGATGGCATCTTAGGACGCGCGCCAACTTCTTAGTGAAGATCTGCACGCTTTCATATCACCAGGCTTAGCAAGCGTGTTGCCACTGAAAATGGTGGGCTCAAGCTGGGCGTTTCCTTAGGATTGCTGTTGCGCCAGCTGACAAGGTGGAGAAGCAGCCAAAAGCAAGCGGGCAAATGCAACTCCTTGGGCTGCAGGGCCACAATCACAAGCTTGTGTTTGATGGGTTGACCCAAAGCCGTGTGAAGAAACAACAAGGATGTTTTCTGAACGATGTGTGTGGGACCGTCCCCAATCTTCACTTAGGCGGGTTTTGATTTTGGCTCTGCCGGGTTCGCTGAGCGGCGATTGATTCTTGGGCCAAGCCGATCTGATAGGGCAACTTCGGGCAAATACGGAGGACCGCGCTAATCGGAGCGGCTTCCCTTAAATCACTTGGATCCCCCAGTCAAAAGTAAAGCAGCATTAGACGTACAAGGTTCGCGCCCGCCCGAAGATGCGGGGGACTGGTAGACTTCCCGTATTCCTATCTTGTGTGCTAAAATGGCTTGCTGGCTAAGATTAGCTAGTACTTTAACTAGACACGTGTGCGCAAGTACGTGTATAAAAACACACCTGCGGAGCGGGGGACGGGGGGGGTAGGCGTTTCCTTTCTCTCTCTCCTTCTCTTTGTTCCCTCCTCTTGCTCTGTCTCATCTTCTTTTTCTTCTTCCTCCTCCTTCTCCTCCTTCTAAGCACATGATATCCCTCCTTCTCTTTCCCTCTCTCTCTCTCTCTCTCTGTGGCTCTCGTGTCTCTCTCTCTGCCTCTCTCTCTCTCTCTCTCTCTCTGTCTCGCTCTCTCTCTCTCTCTCTCTCTCTCTCTCTCTTGCTCTCTCTCTCTCTCTCTCTCTCTCTCTCTCTCGCTCTCGCTCTCTCTCTCTCTCTCTTTTCTTCTTGCTCCTCTTCGTCTCTTTCGCGTTATTTTCCCCTTTTCTCTTTCTCGTTCTCTTGCTCTCTCTTCTGTTTGCTCTTACTGTTCCTCTTTCTCTTTGTCTCTTTATCTCCCTCGCTCTTCTTCTTTGTGTTTCTCTGCATCTCTCTCCCTCGCTCTCGATTGCTTTTGTTTTCTCTTGTCTCATTCTCTGCTCCCTCCTTGGCTATGGCACCTTTTTGTAGCTGTCAGGGACGGGTGTGCTCAAGGGCCCTGGAGCCAGTAGGGCCACAGGCATGTGTGAGAACAGTATGGGAGATATGTCGTTTGACACGCCTTCTCGGAAAGAACATAGGGCAACCGAAGTGTATTTCCGCATTGCAAAAGTAGATCCATGTACAAGCAAAATGAATTTGTAGGAAGAGTTCATGACTACACAAAAGAGTAGATGGGAGTAGCCATCAACAAATATCCCACAGCTGTAGGGGCTGATGCAAACTTGTAGGGCTTTTTGGTAAGTTGGCAATCTATGAATGATAATCCAAACAGTCAGAGATGTAGATGCCATCTGTAAACCATTCACAAGAAGCAGCTCAGCAGGGGTGCCTCCACGGGGAAGTCCATCGTAGGCTGCCCCGCGTTGATTCCAATGAGGTAGTCAACCAACATGGGATTGCGTCGAAGGTAGGTAGTTTCAGGCGGCCCCAGTTGACGGCGGCCCTCAATGGCTCAGGCAACAGTAGGTCCACAGGAACCAAGTTGAGTAGGGCCAGTCCGTAGTAGCCAGCAATGTGGCGTAGCGCCATCACCGCCGCATCCTGCGCTTGCCGCTCATTGGTCGTAGAGACCGGATCCGCAGGCGTGGCAATTGCCATGCCCACCAGCTGCCGAAAATCGCAGATGCACCAGTAGCCCCAGACCTTGCCATCGGTCCAGGTGAACCTCCCGTAGAAGCTCACTCACATACTCGATCTCACGCGCCGGAAGGTTGTAGACCTCGTTGGCGTCCAAGTAGCAAGTCGGACTGATCCAGTTCCGAACGAAGAACGACCAGTAGTGCATGAGGTTGTCCGCCGAGATGTAATACCTGACCAGGTGGGCGCGCTGCAGGTTCTGGGTGTAGACCCGCTCGGACGAGATCATGAATATGTAGTACGCCAGCGCCTCCGCCCTGGTATTGAAGAGATTGAGTCGTAGCGAGGGGCACGTAGGGCACCCGTGAGACTGGCGTAGCTGATCTCATCGAACTTGGCGCGCTCTTCCTCAGCGAGCATGAAGTAGAGGCCACATGATTCGCAGGGGCAGTAGGCAGCGTGTAGCCTTCATTCAACGCCGTCGTAGTCAGCGAAGGCGAGGTCAGGTCGGCTTCCAGCTGATGTAGGTGCAGCATCTCATGGCGGTCAATGCGTAGAGCCATGATGCTCTTAGATCTCAAGTAGCCAAAGAGGCCAGAGCCAACTGTAGAGATCACGAAAAGGCTGCAGTATTCGATGCAGTACACTTGACTGCAGACGACAACTTCAAGAATGAAAACATGGTTGATATTCAACCATAAAGATATTCAATCATTCTAGGGATCCCTTAGTTGTCTTTGGCAAACTTCATGGAGTAAGAGGTCCCAAAAGAGGTAGGACATCAACATGGCAAAGCTCACCTTGTAGCCTCAAAAATGCCAACGCAGAAGACGACCAAAAGTAGGTGCCAGGAGGCGAGTCAACCACGTAGTCAATGACAAGGCAGTTGGGGTTCGAATCCCGTGGGGTGACCAATACCCTTGACAATGGAGTCGTATAGTAGTGGTCGTTGTAAAAGGGGGTTGTTAGGTAAATGCTGTCTCACGACTCGATGCGACGGCGGAATACGGACTTTTTGCTTTGCTTCACAGCTGTATATTGGATGTTTGCCTCGGATGTATTATCAAGGTCTTGAGCCAAATGCATTCGCATGTACATGTCGGCTGCACACAAAACACCATTTCCCCCAAAGGTTTGAGGGACCTTAAAAGAGGGGAAAGCACAGGGTGACCCTCAGAACCTGCCCTTAGGATGTTTTAGCCTGCAGCTCGGAGATTCTTAGCGTCCCCCATCCCGGGCTTGGGTTCATCCCTGGGTCGGGAACCAATCACAAACGCACGCCGACACGCATGGACGCACGGCTTCTCTTTTTCAATTCAGTGAAACGTCTCTGCACGAGTTTGACCAGGTTCTGCAAATTTAACAGGAAATGTGAATGCTACAGGTGACGTACCGGAATTCATGTGCAATGGTGCACATGCAGCAAGCTATCTATAAGGCAGTTGTACAGATCTAGAACAGTCTGCAGAAAACGAATATCCATGACTAGCATAGTCCATCACCAATTTGTAACCAGTAATAATTGTAGCATGTAGCATCGAATAATCATTGACCACCAAATACCTGGCATCTCCAGAATAGTAGTCGCCGATGGCGACACTCTACGGAAACCAGACAACATGCTGTGGTGACAAATGCAAGTCTTATGCAAATACTTTTGGGTTGCCCATGGTACCGTGCACGACGAGTACCACAAGGGCTGACCATGATACCATGCACGATGAGTATCACGATCCCATTGTGTAAAAGTGCAAATTCCAGTAGATCCCCCACATAGAAGAAATCGTAACGGCAATGCTTGATCACCAGTGCGATGATTCTGCGATGGCTGTTCTACTCGCCCTCCACCGGAACCTTTCTAGCAGAGAATGTGGTGTCTCCTTGCTCCGATTGATCTTCTCGATGTAGCGCGAGGGCAGATGTATATTGCGAGTAAAGCACCATTGGATGAGAGGAGTGTCAACCTCTTTGACGCTTTGAACGCAAATGATAGCACCAAGTTCAACTCTCAAGAACTTGCGTCCAATGAGCACATCTGTTCGGTAGAAGGTCATGTAATCGCAATTGAGGCATCGGAATATCGTGTTGCTGACGAAGGCAATGTCCTTCTGGTGGCTGACACCTCTGAACTGCTCTGCTTTGATGCCAAGTATATTGCAGGCGGTCCAAATCCGACACATAATGTGTAGCCCTTTCAGCTTCAGGAACCAAAAGAACATCTCTTCGTCCCTGTGGTTCGCACTTTTGAACCTCACATTTCTGAGCTTTGGAGCGGCAACGACTTCATTATAGGGCTTCGGGACTGGAATGTTCTGTTCGTCGACCTCGTTGAAGATCTAGTCGTCCCTCCCATGGCGATGTAGGGACAATAGACTCCACCACCTTTGGAAGCTTCCTTGACCAAGTCTGCCTCGTTGTTGGCGAATACCTTCCACACCTTGAAAAGTACGATGCCCATGACGCCAGACAGGTATGATGCCTCGCCGGACTCGTCAACGCAGATGGCTTTGACTTGCAGGAGGTGAGTTGCGTCCGCATCCTCCTCAGGGTTGTCCGGACAAACTCCCGCATCTTCGTCGTCGATGTTTGTCCCGATGTCCGATGGAAGGTACGACCTGCCTGCAGACCGTCCCTCACTCATCTCATTGGTGTCGGGTCGTTCTTCCTCGGCGACGATGCGCTCAGCATCTTCCTTTGCTTCTCGCCGAGCTTGCTTAACTTCCTCCTCCGTCACGTTTGCGGTGTCGGATTGCTTGGGCTCGTCGTCATCCACATGGATCACGAACTTGCCGGTGGAAATGAGCTCACATTCGCATGCCGTGCAGTAGCAAAATCCCCTTGGAACGATGACAGCGCACGCTGGGCATACTCTGTTGGAAATACTCGATGGATCGTCCTCGCGGTAGACGATGAATCTGCTGAGCAAACCCCTGATCTCTACCAACGATTTGTTCAAGGTCTCGGGCACTCCAATGTTGACGCACGCCGCGACGACCATCTTCTTCAGGATGTCGGCATCCGCAGGGTCCTCATCGTCCAAGAAACTGTTGAGGTTTCCAAGAAAGTCCGCTGGGGTCATGCCCACAGCGCCCTTGAATCCTGGACAGATCTCGCTCTCGACGGGGAGTAGATCCGCCTACCTCTTTGACAGGTCCTTTCGTCACGGGCTTGAATCTCCATGACCTGTTTGAAGGGAATGGTCTTGAAGGCGACGATCGTCCCTCCCGATGTGACCCCTGACTGGTACACGGACAATTTCCTTGTTGGCACGTAGATGGCGATGAGGTCATCTCCCTGTTTGACATCGTGCATTGCGGTCTTGGTCGAGATGTGCTCGCTGTCCCAAGGTGCAAATACTCCGAAGTGTACCGCCAACCTTCGCGCGCTGTCATGGAACAATACCCCTCAAAATGACACCTTCCAGGGCTGATGGCTTTGTCACGTGGTATGCTCCGCCCAAGCGGTCGGACATGTTTGGGAACAACATGTTGCAAAGTTCAGCAGGACGAGCGAAACCGCATGTCCCGACGATGCTCGAATGCACCATGGTTGCCACCATCCGCCGTGCTCGCGACGAATCCAGTCGATGTTGTCCTTTGTCCATCCAGCCGCTATGAGACCCGTCATCGATTCAATGTCGATTTCCTGATCGAATCTCGCAGCAAGAATCTGCGGTCTCGGTTTCCGTGCTCTGCGATCCTCCGATCTGATGCACTCGGCGATGATTTGGAATTTGTACTGATCCTGCGGGAACGCGCCCTCACGGCTCAGGATGTGGTCGATGTTCACCCATCCTCCACCATTGCAAGGAATAGGGTTCCCCCTCTTTTGGTGGCGTAGGATCTTCACCAGCGCTTTTGATGTATAGAATAAGTCGCTGTGGTGAATGTTGGATCCAAATGCTGCGTAATCCTTGTACGGCCAATAGGGTAAACATGCTGTTCTGCGTGTTCATGACTTCCAAGTGTACTCCCTTTGGCAGCGTGCGGGTCATACACGAATACCCTTGCACACCTTCGCACACTGCCTCATCACCGGGTTGAGGAATCACAGAGGGGTTTCGTCCACCAAACGAATCGAGCATGTTGTTGTACTCCTTCATGGTTCCGTTGGGATTCGTGTGTAGGTCAAGCTGACCAACGTGGAGTTCTCCTCCCTCTGCCAAGTCAGCCATCTCGGAGAGGTTCACAGCGTAGTTGTACTTGTGGAACTCCTCCCTCGGATAGAATATCGGCTTCTCCGTTTCCGGTTGATGCGGTTTCTCATGAGGTTCGCTGGACATCGGCGCCATCTCTTCATTATCATTCGGAACTTCCATGTCGATGTTTTCATCGGATGAAGGATGTTTTTCTGGAAGAAACAGCATCTTGATCTTGCCACATGCTGAGTCAGATTCCGTTGCCCTCGCGGTATCTTTGCATGTCCCATCATGGGATTCTTTTCCGCACTTGATGCAAATACTGAGTTCGCCAGCGCGATCGCAAAGATCCTCGAACATCCGCAACAGCGCTGCTCGTCTTGTGGCGATGTTCTCGACTATCGATTGTTTGGGTTCAGGCTCTTCGGCATGATCGGGTTCACGACCACGATCAGCCTCGTCCTCATGATCGGACTCGCCTGCTTTCCTCTTCTGGCCTGATGAACTGGCTTCCTCGAGGTCGATGAACGGGTTCGAGTACGCCAGCTTGTCCATGATGTCCCTGACATTCTTGTTGGGAACCTCCATGTACTTCACAGCGCCGCTTCTCTTTCCGTTCATGTGAGAGGTCATGCTCTCCCTGACGAACTTTAGGAACGTGGCTTCCAGCATTGGTCGGTATTGGCAAACGTTCCCCCATTTTGGCAATTCCTTTCCGCAGTAGGATATGACGTCGAAGAACCTGAGAACGGTCTCCAGTCCATCTCCCAACTTCTCTTCATTGTCGGTGGAGAAAACACGGTATGCCTGTTCTTGACCTAGGAACCATCGCATCCACGAAGCGTATACAGCGTTTCCGTATACACGGAATTTGGACTTCTTCTCTTTCGTTCCATCGGAATGGGTGACGATGTACGACAGCTTGTCAACCCACAGTTGCTTCCCCTTGCTACTGCGGAAGTAGTCAGCGAAGGAGTCCCTATCGAGCGTGATGCCTCCGATTTGTGACAGCTGCTTCGCGAACTTCTTGTTGAACAGATTCACGATGAGGTGTTGTACAAAAGTGTCCATGTCCCCATTGAATATGCTCTCAAGCTCGTTGATGTCACCGAGCACCAGGCTGCATTCGGCGAAGAATCTTTTCATGATGTTGGGGCGGTCAGCTCCCTTGTGCATGGTATTCTGCTCGATCCGCCCGTTTGCGTGGCAATTGATGCATGTGTCAGGCGGTC